ATTTATTTGTGAGAGAGAGAATGAGAGACAGAGAGCATGAGAGGGAGGAGGGTCAGAGGGAGAAGCAGACTCCCTGCTGAGCAGGGAGCCTGATGTGGGACTCGATCCCGGGACTCCAGGATCATGACCTGAGCCGAAGGCAGTCGCTTAACCAACTGAGCCACCCAGGCGCCCTCTAATTTACATTCTTATTAGAATTAGAATTCTGCATTAGATCCACTGTTATATGTGAAATTTTTCAACAAATTATCACTGAGTGCTTACCATGGACTATATTCAGTGCTAAGAGCTGGAGCTATAGGTGAACTATGCACAGAGAATGGGTGCATGGTTTTATGGTTCCCTTACAGTTAGCTCACAATCTGGCTGGTATTATTAAAGGAAGTGTCCTGCACTGAATATGAGACTGAACTATGAAAACCGTTTATGTGGGTAATAACTTTTCTTAGGAATTAGCTGCTTATATAAAATTAGATGTGAATTATGAACTCTTATGTTTGTCTGCCTTCCATTTTCCTTTTTTTCTTCCTTTCTCCCTCCTCTCCCTTTCTTTCCTTTTTTAAAGCCAAAAGAAGAATATGTGTATATCCAAGGCATATGAAGGATTTTTTAAAAATTCACTTACAGTATTGTTTGTTAAGAATGTCTTATAGAGCTTTAAAAGGTGTTATATGAAAAAGGATTTTTTCAGTTAAGCACATTTGGGAAACATTGGATTCAATAAAGTCACGTCAATTTCTTCACTGTAAAAATTCCCAGAGCCTTTATTCTAAGAGAGTGGAAGGCATGACCACACTTATTTAACCATGGCTTCCTTTTATCAAAGAAGGTATCTTCCTTAAAAGACATTTTGAAAGATACTGTTTAAGAGTATAAAAAAAAAAAAAAGCGCATGAAATGCTGGTTGTTCATTGGTAGTTTACTGAAGAAAGTTTTATTCTTTTGACAAATTTTTGACTTTTGTCAGTATATATAATAATAAGGTTATATTTGGCCTTTAGTCATATTGAAGAGAATTCCAAATGAACTATTTTGTTTTGTAATTAAAAATACTGGATAATTATTTACCTAGATTTTCTACTGTTTGTATAAACTTTTAATAAATATTTTAGTTTTTAAGGTAAGAAATAGGGAGGAGTGTCTCATTTTCAGAGTAGAACTGTTTTCTTTATGTATGTCTGTTTAAATTTGCCTTTTTACTCCAGGTTGTGGGATTCAAGAACTTAGCATTAATGGACTCATCCTCTAGTCTTTCCAGAAGCCCAGCTAGCTACATAGCTCCTTATAGCCGCATTTTAAGATATGCAGTGTCTACTGCTCTTTGGCTGGTCATTGGAATTATACAGGTAACAACAGATTATACTTTTCAGCAACATTGCCTTTCTCTATTTATAACTCTGTTTACATACTAATTATCTTCAAATATTGACCACATCCTGGTTTCTACAGCGGAAAGAAGGTAATGGCAAGAACAACAATAATAGCTAATTCTTACCTAGTGTTATAACCCAGGCACTGTGTTAATTAATTGCATTGCACATATTAATTTAATCTTTATAGTAGCCCCTGGAGATAGGTTCAATTAGGATCCTCATTTTATAGATGAGGACACTAGGGCACAGAAATGCTAAATAGTTTGCTAAAGTCATGCAATTAGAGATTGGCAGAACTGGAATTTGAGCCCAGGCAATCTGATGTGAGATTTTTTTTTTTAAGATTTTATTTATTTATTTGACACAGAGAGAGAGAGCACAAGCCGGGGGAGCGGCAGGTAGAGGGAGAAGCAGACTCCCCGCTGAGCAGGGAGCCTGATGCGGGACTCGATCCCAGGACCCTGGGATCATGACCTGAGCCGAATGCAGACGCTTAACCGACTGAGCCACCCAGGCACCCTGATGTCAGGTTCTTATCAATGTGAGAATGTTCACATTCTTATCAATAGTGGGCTCAGAAGGGTCTTTCAGAGCCTGCAGCTTTCTAGTCAGAGGATGGACTCCATGGCTTAGTTTCTATAAACTATAGGGATGGCTAAGCTACCCTTAATATTTTCTTTCTTTTTTTTTTTGAAATACAACTTATTGTCTACATTTATTTATATATCATTAAATCTCACTCAGATTGCAGGTACTCCTTGTGAAACTTTTGTTGAAATATTTTATGAGAAAACTGAAACTAAAATCTTCTTAGCTTCAGGTCCTGTGACTCTAGCAGAGGATCATTTCCTTTTTTTTTAAGATTTATTTATTTATTTATTTTAGAGAGAGAGAGTGTGTGTGTTTGCATGCATAGGGCAAGCAGGGGGAGGGGCAGAGGGAGAGGGAGAGAGAGAATCCCAAGCAGGCTCCACGCCCAGCATGGAGCCTGACACAGGCCCCTACGTGGGGCTCGATCTCACAACCCTGAGATCATGACCTGAGCCAAAAATCAAAGTCAAGAGTAAGACCCTTAACTGACCGAGCCACTCAGACACCCCACAGAGGATCTTTTCTATGCTCATTTCCCTTATTTTCTTAGATGTTAAAAAAAAAAAAGAAAAAAAGAGTGAAAGGAAGAAAAGAAGCATCACCTAAAGCACTTAACTCTAATATTTGTACTTCTTTCTCTTGCTTCCAGACACTCCCATGAATGGAAAAAGCCTTTCTGTTTGATTAAAAATTCCTTTAAGTCAAAAAATGAACATGGGATCTCTAGAAAGATCCGGTTAAACTACCTCTACCCTGGCAAACAAATATCTGCCGAATTAAACATGGCCTATTTTTAAACATGGTTTGGGATTTAAATCCAAAAATTCCTACAGAATTGGTTCCAGGTGGCATTCTGTAACCTGAGAATAGACTTTTAAAATTTACGTTTATTTTAAATTGGTGAGACTTGTTTAAACTTGAAACTACAGGGATAGATCCAGTGAGGGACAGCTTAATAATCAGAAAAGAAAGCCAAGCAAATGAGAATTTGAAATGAGATAGGATCAAAACAGTATGGGGTTTGATGTTTATCATCAATATAATAGTGAGAAAATAATTCATTTTAAAGATAGACCAGTATACATTTTTCTGAGTATATTGGATTCATCTGGATGTAGAGAATTTAAAGGAATGCATCTGAAGTTTTTCATATTTGGTTGAGTACAACAAAAAAACCCAAAATAGCAGTGGCTGAAGTTAAAATGACTATTACCTCCCATGAGAAAGGGGAGTGGAGATGTGCAGTGCAGGGGGCTGCATGTTGCCGCCAGGACTCAGAAGCTCTGCCACTCAGGACGCCCATCTCTCAGGTCACCTTGTGGTCCATAATGGCTGGTGGAGTTGAAGGAAGGAGTCGGGGAGAACAGTTCACCCTCTCTTATCTTTAAGAGCCTTTTCAGAAGTGCTGCTCAGCATTTCCTTGGCCAGAACTCAGGCACGTGGCCACACCTCACTGCACTGGTGTCTTTCAGCCAGGCAGCAGTGTGCCCACTCCAAGGAGGGGTCTGTCGCTAAGGAAAAAGGGGAAAGGATCGTTGGGGCAGAAACTAGTCATCTCGGGCACCACCATCTTACCTCATTCTTTGTTTCTCACCCTGCTGTCATTCTGGTCGTATGTTGTGTGTGCATGCGTGCGTGCGCGCTCTCTCTCTCATATAACTACCTACCTAACTAAACTCTTAAAAGAAGTCGTCTTGATTCTCATAATGTTAGTCTTTATTGTTTACTCCTTTTATTTCCCTAAACCCAGCTTCTTCAACTTTTAAGTGGTATCCTTTAGTTTTTAAACTTTGTAAGTTGCTGTTTTTCAGGCCCTTTAAAGGGACTTAAAACAAGACGTACACAGAATGTTAGGGAAGTGTGTTCAGTAATCAGTTGCTGTAGATTCATTTATTTATTCATTCACATATCTCAGTCCATTTTGTGTTCTAGGCACTGTGCTGGGCTCAAGGATATGCTTAACAAGAACAAGCTACAGATTGTGGCAAGTGCTGTGAAGGGCATCAATAGGGAGATGAGACAGGGAGTAAATGGAGGAGAGGTGGGAGGGAGTTATGAATGGGGGACACCTTTCAACTGGTTGGTTAGGAAATGTTATCTTTCTTTGAAATATATCTAAGTAGGTCTAAGATGTACACTTTCCTCTTTTGATTTATAAAATAATTTCCTTTTCCAGTATTATA